TATAATATGTGCAGCCAAGCATGTCAATGATAGTGAAGGGCTTAGCCCTACTGTAGTAGACGGTTCAACGATCATCCAAGTATCAACATACAGCCTACAGCCTGTACAAGCCCTGTAGCTGCTTCAACAATGGAAGCTACCCATAGATGACCTCCCATATTCGGTAATTTCATGAAGTGTTCACTCAAGTCGATCACGCGATTGCTCGACTGTTTTGACTCCGCCTTCGTGCTGCCTGCATGCCACAGCTTTTTCGAGCCAGACAGCAAGGATTAAGACTGATTAGGCTGGAAAAAATCTGGGGCATCTTCACAAACTCCACATCAGTGGAACAAGTCAGCAGTCAGCCCTTCCCGAAGCCGAGAGTCTACTTTTCCCATCACTTTTCCATTGATAGCATGAGAAAAAGGAACTAATACAAGGTTGATGAACCTTGCTAATTGTTCAAGCACAACCATGCACCAGATTCAACCCGCAGAGATCAGACACATCACTGAAAGACTTGATCCATCGGCTCCCCTTTCGACACCCGCGGAGAATCCGCCAGGCGTTGGAAAGTTTCGAGCCTCCGAGTTTGGAGGATTTATGTTTAGTAAACATATTTAATCATATTTATATATGGTAAGAAGAGCGGCGGTTGGAACTGTATCCTGCAGCCATATGTATTGTGAGCCAAGAATGGCGACAAGGGTGGCGATGGGAAGTTGGGAACCGCCGGTTCAGGGACGCCCAACGCGGGCCCACAAGACAATGCATAGGGCCCTGCCCATTCCGTAAGGCGGCGGTGTGCAGCTGACCTTTGAATCGTAAACCGGGAAAGTAACAGCAAGACGTTTTGTGTAGTTGAAAAGAACATAACACTAGAAGCGTGAAAGTCAAAACAAATGTGATGATGAAACACTAGGAATGCAACAAGGTACTAAAAATATGGGACTCAACCCAGAATGGCTCCAGGAGGAAAGCAGCGGTGCCTTTTCTGAGGTACCTGATGTGCAGCCTTTGTAGGCGTTGACTGAGCAACTGCTGCAGGTGTTTTTGCTGTTGGTGTTTGTTTTGAGATCAGAAAGGGCATGTCAAGTGTCTAAGTAGCATGTAAGTTGTGTCAGCATTCAAGAGGTCTGAGAATAATTGACAGGTGCCTAAGTAACGTTGGAGCCGTAAGTAAGGTTGAAGGGGCAAACCCATGGGGATGAATGCAGTAGATGTACACAAGAAATCTCGCAGGGAGAGGGCTGTGCCCCATATAAAAACGTCTGGGAGAATTTGCCGCAATAGCATGTCACCTTTGGGGCAGGAGGTTCATAACATCTGTGTATCCTCACTCACATTGCAGACCGTTCTCGACTTGACGCCATAGGATGCATTCAGAATTGGAGAACCTTCACGGGGTTGCCTACCGGAATGGTAACTCTGCAGCAATGCCCCAGCCCCACTTATGCAATCTTCGCCTAATAGATCCCGGACACCCAAAGCGGCCCTAGAACACAATTCATGGGGCTTTGCCCATTCATGCATAAGCTGCCCCGAGGCCCACGATGCCAAGAGCAGGGGAGCGCTGGACGCGCAAATTTTGTGCATGTTTCGCGCTTCCGCAAAACATTCATATCCAAAAGCAGTGCAAAGCATGGAATTGTTCACAGGCAAAGGGACACTGCCCATCTGAAAGAAGATGCGCCAGGGTGTACACCCCCCTAAAAAACCGAGGACCCAACTTTATCAAACCTGGGCAGAAACCAGCAGCAAACCCTACATAAACACGAGAAAAGACATGGGAAAACATTGGAAAGCCCACATTAAACACTAGAGAAAACCCGCAGTAAACAACAGAAACACTAAGAAACACAAAAAAATACCTTGGAAACTAATTACTACACAAGGAGGGTTGTGGAGGAGGGGGGATCGAACCCGGGACCATCTGGCCGGCGTGAGTATCAAGGTAAAGAAGGAAGACGGCCGATTCCATGGCAGATTCACGGCAGGTTCATGGCTGAACTCTTGAAGCTGAAGTTGACCCGAAACCCTTCACCAAGTCACACGAGAAGATAGCTCTTTTGCGGTCCTCGAATAGGTTCCTTGGCGGCTGGAACCCTCCCTGCAGGTCACTCTTGATGCCGTTGGATCAGGCGGACAGAAGTTGGGTTTGGCTTGAGGCATCGACAGGAGCCAGTGCAAAAACTAGCAGAAATCAGTAAAGGTATGCAAAGGTTTGTTCTTCTTGTCTTGGGGAGCGAGAACCGCACAAATCAGCACGTTCTAAAGTGAGCTGTGTTGAACTGCCAATCAGGGGCCCCACCTCCCAACTTGCGGTATGTTCTTAAGTCCTTTGCTGCCTTTGCTTGTTGAAAGTGGACCATCAGGTTTCATCTATCGTGTGCACTTCTCAGACAAATCATGCGTTTTGAGTTATCCAAAAGCAGTGTCGGTGAAGATTCAAGGTGCCGGGGGTTGCAATCAGGAATTCACCCAACTCCAGCGGAATTGCAAGTAAGCCCTCGCACCTTCACACTTCAACGGATCTGGAAGAAACATGAACTTTCTCTTCGGCATCATCTGACCGTAGCTCTTGCAGGCCTTGGAAGCAGACCAAAATGACGTCATCGCGTCTGAATCATGGCTTCGCTCAAGACAAGGTTTGGTATTTTTTTGGTGGAAGCCCCGCATCGAGAGTGAACATGCACACTACAAGTTCAACGGGATGTTTGTTCTGTAATTTGTTTTCTGGTGCCTTTGAGTGTGTTTCTTCATGATGTTGTCAAGAAGCTAGCTCTTTAGGGCTTTTGAAGCCCAATTGCTTTGGATGAACCCCATCTTGGTATGATCAACCTCCTGCCATCCCTTTTTCTTATCGTGCCTTTTCTTTGCCTCAGACTTGCACATCTGAGGTAAACTCCATTATTTTGTCGCCACTTGGCCTCGGCAAAAGAAGACTGATGAGTGAAGGCGGAGGGTAAGGTGAGAAGGCAACATCGCCGTCAAAAAATACAACCGAATATCTGCATGAATAGAAATTATTGGAACTACAGATCGTGCTTCCTGCCAAAACCACTGCCAATCAAAGTCTCGGATGTTCCCCATGTGCGGATGGTCCTCATTGTCATACTCCCAACCCCGCGTTTCAGAAGACTCTCTTCCAGCCAGAGCTGTGAAATTTATTTGGGTCAGAGTCAAATCCCAAAAATTGACGGAGCACTGTGGGACAGTTCTCATCTTAATTTTGAACAGGACCAATGATATGAGAACTGCCTCCTTCCAAAGGGCCAAAGCAAAACGAAGGAACTTATATTAACTCATGGAAGACGGCACTCAAAATCTGCGGTTTCAACAAATGGTACCTGGTAGCCCCTGTCAATGAATATCTACTGATCTACTGTACCTTCCACCAATCCCCGGAAACATCCAAGCGACAATGTTGGGGGCACCAGATCTCTGTCGAGGGGCTCCCTTTTAGCCCTTGTGGGCATTGGCTACCGCATCAACACGCGCGGCTCCCAAGGGGTGTCCGTCAGTGACGGCGGACAGACACTGCGTTTACGTACAAAATGCGCCTTTTTTTTGCATTGGTCCACTCACTTGATTCTTGATGTTCTTTCTCTACGCCCAAAGTCCGAAAGAGTGGCTTGACTGAAAGTCTAGTCTAGTCTGGCTTTTCTTCGAGTGTTTGGCCAACTCTTTGACGGCGATAAACTGAGACTCCATCGACAATCAGGCCATCACTGGAAGAGTATGTTCGCACACAGCATCTCGCTTTTGACCAGCGGCGCAACAGCACGCCTAAAGCTCCCTAAAGCCTAAAGGCGCTTCACCCCTCTTGGCTGACTCCGGATACAGAAGACCAAGCCGCCATGGGAATGCTGGGTCCCCAAAGTGCCCGCATCTATTTCGGTGCTGAAGTTCATGAGGTTTTTTGCTGCGAAGTGTGTGTCGAATGCCATTCTGCTCACTTGGTGCCACGGACGGCATCACTTCATGCCTTTAATTCCTTGTGTGTTGTTGATTCAGTAAACCTCTGTTGGACGGCATCACAAACACATTGGCGTGCCCCCGTGGCAGATGTTCAGACCAACTTCAGTCGTGATGATACTCAGATTGGATCCGCTGAAGGAGGTCATAGACAGCCTCCAATTTGGAATGTTCAGAGCCTGCTGTTGGTTGCGGAAAGCGAGTGTCCACCAAGAACACCGATTGGTGCACAGCTTTCCACATCCAAGACTATGCAGGGTCTCCGTAAAAAATGAGATTCTGACCATACTACTAGGAGCAAGGACGCTACTAGGGGCTCCTGGCCATACTACTAGGAGCAAGGATGCGACTAGATTCTGGAAGATGTGCCTCCAAAGGCGAAATGAGAAGGAATTATATACTTCTTTCAGATCGTTTTATCCTTTTCTGGATATGTGTTTGGTTCAGTCGTTTGTCGTTTCCGAGTTTGCTCAAGCCACATGGCTTTGGCCCAACAGTATGGCCCCGTGAAAGTATGCCAAAGCCTATCCATGCTGAACCTAGACGTTTGGGCCATTCTACTTGGAGCTCGGCAAGAATGGTGAGAAGACTATGATGCACTGCCCGCTAACACAATATTCTCCATGAGGTGCGCCCCAATCAAACCTGCGAATCAAGCATCTGAGCAGTAGAAAAACAGTTTAGAACAGTTGGAAGCGAGCCAATCCGCCGCAGCGGACTTCTTCATTCGTCAAGAGGCTTCGCCGTGGCTTTGAAGTCCGGCTGCTCTCTTGAAAACCAACACAGGGCATGCATCCTTTTTCTGGAGTTTTTCGCAGATGCAAGTACAGATGTGAACAAAAGCCTGTATGTGGAGAGTGTGGCGTGAACATCCTGCTCTCGGGCCACTTCTTCAGTTTTTTCTTGTTCTGAGTCTCAACAGCAAGTGAGACATGTGTTCTACCAATTCCACGTTCCCACTTTTTTCGCGATTTTACACCTTTTCTTTAGAGATGCCCTTTCTGCAGCCATGGGCGCCATCTTGGATTGGAGCCTGGTCCATGGCACCTCGCGATGTGAGGCTGTGCCAGTTTTAGGGAGCGCATGGAAGCAAAGCAGCTGTGATTCTCAAGTATTCAGTTGTTTAATGGTGGGAAGACCGGGAGTAGCAAGACAAAGCCATGTGGACACAGGTTAGCCCTTCGACTCGTTCTTGGGGCTTTTGAGTTGGTCAGCCCCCTTGCGATCGGTACAACCTATGTCTTTGAAATTCCCAACGAGCATGCACGGACACAAAACTTGACCAACCAACTCTTGAAAAAGTATCAGTAGATGGCGTGTTTGACCGCGCGCAAGGGCAGAATTGTGCCTTGGCTCACAAAGCCACAAGCCTCGCAGGATGGCAACAAGTTATGTGTTGTTTGCCTAGAGGACTCAAGCAAATAAACAGGTTAACAGATGTTAAAAGAAGAGAGTAAGGAAGAGTGAATTGATGGGAACAAGAAAGCTCCAAAGAGAGAAGAAACGGAAAACGGAAGAACGAAAGATGAAAGGTTCAAAACATGTCTCCAATGGTTCCGACTTCAGCCCCCGTCAGGCCCACGACAAGCTGCGCGCGGCAGCCCGTGCAGCGGCCTGACCAGGCAGCTGTGGCGCCGGCGCCTGCGCCGTCAGCGAGGTTGGAGGTGATCGTGGCGCCTTGGTTACAGAGACAACTTGAAGATGCCGTTTCTAGAGAGATATTATAAAACATTTATATAACTGTTTTGTAATATTCTCTTGTGAAAGACTTGTGCTCCTCCCAGGTGGGTGGTGGTTTGAGCGGGCTTTGCTGCGCAGCCATATGCTCCAAGATGCAGGGGAAGAAGCGGATCAGGCAAGGACATGGGAGCGCCATGGAGCATCCGTTCTGCACCGCAACGACCTTCAGGTCAATGGATAAAGCCAAAGAGCTACTAAAAGCGTCCTTGCTACTAATAGTAATTCCAGGAGCGTTCCTAGTAGCGATGCCTCCTCATCAGGAATGCTCCCGACTTTCGGAGGTTCCGAATTTGTGCATCGGAATTCCGTGCATATCATGAACATTCGTGTAGGACCTGACATGACCTGGTAAAACAACCTGAAGCGAAATGTTGCATTGCATGACTTGAGTAATAGAACACCTTTGCTTTTGCTAAACTTGCAGTATATCATTACGCGTTTGGGGAAGTGTTGCTGGGCTTCTTTTCAAAAGGCTTTATCGGGCAACCAGGCTTGATGACGCTGAAGATCATTACCCCTGTTTGCCACTCTTCAGCAAAAAACAATACAAGCAGGTCTTGTCAAAGGCTGCTGGGTTCGGCCTGACACAATGGTTCAACGGAAACCTGTGGGTTAGGCCCAAACATTGTTGGTTGCGTGCTGCGCACTGTGCGACAGATCCAACCTAGACAGCCTCGGTTTCTTTCAGTAGTTACCAACCTTGTATCACATTGGTACGGGCAAAGGTTCCTTTATCACATTCGCTTGCTTCTCGTTCAACTTAGATTTTGATCTTGGCAAGTCGACGAAACCCCCTCATCCGCTGCAGGGTCTACGACCGAGGAAATGCCAAGAAGGCAAGGACGACTTCCAGAGTTTGCTGGGAAGGGTGGGAGGCATCCCTCGCTTGCATACCAGATTTCATCCATGAAGCCCTCGGTATCATCTCCTCGGTATCATCTCCTTCCACTTTCTCAACAAGAATGAGCACAGGAACGTTTCAAATTGGTGTTGTATTTCAGCGTGGCAAATTGTAACATGTGAGGTTTGGATCCGCACAAGTTGGCACAAACTTGCTCTGAAGACCTTGAAGGGGCCATTTCTAGTCCCCCATGTGTCGTGGGGCAGCAGCTTTCTCAGAACGAGTTGTGGGGTGGTCCAAGCACGAAACACAGTGTGGTCTTGATTTGTGTTGATATTATATATATATATATACAGTAATAATATGTATTATATTATATATATGTATCTCTTCAGTAGGGTCCACGACATTGACAAGAACGAGCTCCATGCTGAAATACTAGAAATGCGCAGATAAGACAGAGATTCCTCGATCGCCAACGGTTCCAAGTTGCACAGCATGTATGTGTGCTTGTGGGTTGTGCTACAAGACATGCTAACTGTCACGTGTGTTTAACCCATAAAGTCATCAAGATTGTGTAAAGGAAATTGGAGCTGTCAGGACCTGCGCGTGGTGAATCTGCAGAGTAGTACCTGGTCCAAGTTCCCCGAGGTGGGCGCAAGTTCACAGGCGGTGGACCAAGTAGAAGTTCCATCGACATGCCCGATGACTGAAGAAATTGAAGGCATACGGCCAGGTGGTTCATATAAAGCTTCTAGAGAAAACAAAGCTGTTGCCTTAAACTGAACTGAACACCGGCTCCCGCATTTTTTGGGTGATGTTTGGAGTGCAGAGTGGGCGGCAGAAACCCTGGAGCAACCAGAGGAGAAGGTCCTAAGTTTGTTGCAAGAATGGCTCGGAGGCGTATGGAAAGGGTTGTGAGTCCTCAGATAATGTTTTGGCTTCCGATGTTCTCGAAATTGCACTGTGCACAGTGCTATGAATTGGCTAGGCTGTGATAGTATTTGCAACATGTCTTGGCCCAGTCTCGTGAAAGTATACTTGTATGTCACATCCTGTCACTTGTCGGTTTCGAGGAGCTGCAAGAGCGCTTGAAGACCATCAGCTCATCCCAGTGGCCCTGCCAGCGCGAGAGCCCACGGAGCTTGGGGCGTCCGCGTAGCAGCTTAGCGGGATGAGGCGGCTAGTGTAGTCCTCAAATGTCCTGAAGACGCATCTGCCGCATCCGAAAGAGCTCGTGCGAGTAAGACCACACTTGGCCTGACTAGTGGCAATGGGGCTGGTTCTTTTGAATCTTTAGTGCGGAGCCTTTCTAGAAGTCTCGTGAGTTCATAATAAACAATTCCCTTCACCGTGACTCCAAGTATCGACTTTCAGAACCGGAAGAGTTAAGGCAAGCAAGTTGCTACCTGCGAATGTCTACGAGCCAAGCCTAGTGAAGATATTTTGAGACGCCTCCGGCCATCTCCCGCCTCGCAGCATGGCTGTAGCGCCGCATGGTGCTTCAGCTCGCAAAGGCCTCTTCGCCTATCAGCTCAAGGAGGAATTGGAACGAATGGCCCAGGTGGAGATGCACCAGGGACCGCCAGAGCTGGAGGCCCTTGGCACTCACGCAACCAATTGTGTCATTGTGGTGGTTTGCTGGGGCAAGTAGCGGCACAATGTATTTAGTCTCGGTCTGGGTTCACTTGAGACAAAGACAGTAAGTTATTTGAAGCATTGCCGTTCTTTCAGTCGCCTTCTTCTGCCCACTGTTTGTAGAGTGGCTGTCTACTTGCATTGACACTTTTGGATTTAGATGAAGCCCGCGGCCACCACTTGTATACATAACACCACTTGGATCTCACCGTAACCTGCCACCTTTGCTTTGTGATTTGAGTCCCCTGGAGAATGGACGCAAACGAGTGCTTCAGTTTATATTCTTTGGTCAGGCGCAAGTGGCCAAAAAAGGCCACACCACCGACCAATAAGATAGATGATAGACTGTTTGCGGCGTTAACTACGTAGCATCAAGTCAAGTTCGTCTTTTCACGCACGTCAACAGCCAACACCACCCCACCCGTGGCCAGCGTAGCATTGCAAAACTTCTCAGTTGTCCTCAAGGAAACTTCAAAAGTGCTGCAAATACGAAATTGTGTCCGAAAGCGCGAAATGCCATGGCCGCCTATCAACAGTGTCCCCACTACACTGACGCTTAAAGGGTTGACCAACAAAGTGACTTAAAGTATTAGTCATGACACCACGCATCTTCCTGACTGCTAAAAAAGTACAATTTATAAAATTCATATAATTCTTTAAAGTTGTCAAAAGACAGACGGTTTAAAGACATCTTAGTGTGAGCAACACGACACGAGTGCAAGCATTTTGCACCCCCAGCCCAAACCACCCTTGAGATGGACCTCAAGATTAGTGTGACGATAAGCCATGAGTGTGACGCGACGAACCCTCAAAAGAAATAGATGAAATAGGACCAATAGGGTAGTCCTGATTTCGAAATTCCACTGTGTCCTATGAAAAGACAACAAAGACGAGCGTGATGAGGATGCGTCCATGCCGTGCTAAATTTATTGAACATGACAACGCAACACAACTCGAAACGCAGGATTTTATGTGTGCACGCACACGCGCGCGCACACACACACACATAGAGAGAGAGAGAGAGTTCTTCAAGCACCTCAATCCATAGAGCAATGTGTTGTTGTAACTTGTTGGATGGCGGCGTTGTTTCTTGCCTTTTTTCAGTCGAGAGCTCTCAGATGCAACTTCAATCACGTGCTGTCAAAGGGATGTTCTGAGGAAACGGCAAGGAAGTTCTTATCAAGATCTATCACAATGGACTCTCTGGACAGACAACGATCATCATCAACGATTCCTTAATCATGTCGCTCTTTTGGCAGAGCAGTCGCAGGGTTGTCAGACTGTCAGCACACAGCCTGAAAGACAGGTCAAATGCAAGAAACGAGATACGATCGGTTATGGAAATGCCTAGCTCCACCCTTTGAGGATCCCTGCCATGCCCTGGTCCTTGCCGACGGCCCCGATGCTCGTCACCTTCGCCGTGAACACTTCGGCACTTCAGCCGTGTCAGCAGCATCGCTGACAGCGCTGGGCTGCGCGGTCAGCGATGTCGAAAGCGATAGCAACTTGGCCACGGTGCTAAGCTGTGCACAGCGGCGCTTTGCACTGAATCTGGCAGGCCTTTGGGAGTGATGTGTTGGGTGGTGCTGGGGGGAAAGAGTGCATGTAAACCACAGGGAGACAGGGAGTTGGAAGTTTTGGTTTCAGGCCAGTCAACCCCATGAATAATTCAGCGGAGGCCCTCCCTATTATTCCAGATCCACTAAAATATACTTGGGAGTCAGAAGATCCAAGACTCCAGGATCTACTCAAGCCAATGCACTGTGAGGGGCCGGGTGAACATTTCGTGGTTAGTATCAAGTCAGCAAAGAAAGTCATGTCGGAGCAGCTGTGCTAACCTGATGACCAATTGATGTTACAACTGGTTGCAGTGGACCGTCTGGAATAGGCCCAGATGGTCCAGCTACCAAACCTTCGCCCCAGAGCTGCCGGGCAGGAGATGCAGGGCTATTGAGCATGGTGCTCACAGACGATGAGATCAAAGAGGCTGGGTTGGCGTGAATGTCCTTTGTATCATGCTGTAGGCTTGCACAGATGGGGACCTAGCACCAGCTCCCAGGCTTCACAGCATTTCAGCAGTGCCTGGCTCAAGAAAGTCGGCATGGCTGTTTGACAGCGCGATGGCTAGCCCTATTTTCTCTTTCAGCCCAGTGCCACACACACCGGAGCGGCCAGGGAGGCTCAGCCTGAATGTGCCCGAAGACTCACACTTACGATTCCCGATAGATCGGGTCACAAGGAAGCCGGAGCACCCCGTGCTGACGCGCGGGTGCATCGAACGACGAAGCAGAAAGTTCATCGAGCAACCCTGGTGTCATAAGTCGTTCTGTTTTTTGTGTGTTTATGTCAGTAGATTTGTGTGGGCAGGGGTGAAAGTGACATTTGCAGTCGTCCGCGAGCGGTGCAAAATGTCACCACAAAGGAGTATTCACTTTTGAGCACCCTTTGTTTTGAGATGTTGGTTTTCTTCCAAATCGGCAGATCCAAGGCAGGCCACAGGTGCGCAAGTTTCTACTGAAGTACAACTTCAAGCACGTGAATGCGCCGCAGAGAGACAGACAAATTCTGAACCGGTTTTGCCTCTTTGGAGGGAAAGAGGTGATGTATTCTGGATTTGCTTCAGATTATATGTTTTCTATTGTTTTCTTACTGTGCGAACTAGATTGGCTGTTGCGTCACAGACCACGAATAGCATGAACAAAAAGAAATAGGTTGGACGGCATTTGTTGTGGTCATGAATATCAATCTGAGATAGGGGTACAGGCCAGGTATTTGCAAATCCCAGGTATCCTTTGCACGTAGCGGCAGAGAGCGGAGATGTCCAGATGGTTCTGTTCCTTTTGCGTGCAGGCGCCAACAAAGCTCAGGACGGCGGTTTGAGTGTACGATCATACTGGAGTAGATAGAATGTGGTACGTTTAAAGGTTTTTTTTGCAGTTCCTGTATGTTCCTGTTTTTTGTCTGACAGTTTTCAGCGACGGAGTCGGGCTATCCAGTAAATCATCGCAGTGACTCAAGGAAGGAGTTTGCTAGCTGACAGCTATATAACACATCAGGCCGAATACCTTTATCCTGCAGATTTATCTTTGGCAATCTAGAGCAACCTGTGCAAGGAGACGTCGCATGGACGTACACCTTTGGAAGTGGCCCAGGAGACATGCAGCGATTCACATACAGAGATCGTGGAAATCCTTATGGGCATCAAGAAGCTTGGTTGAAGAAACTGGAGGATGTACACGTGCGCCACTAATTTCCGTGCAAATATGGAATCCGCCAGATAAAAGAAAGCAACATATTTACCTAGCACAGCGCGCGCAAGCCTTAAACCCACAGCTCCAGAAAGCTGTTGAAGTTCTTCTTTTTGTCATGATGGTCTCCTAACAATGTTAAGATTTCCGCCACATCAACACCCACGGGAAGCCTGGTCCACATATTCAACTCTTATCAACAAGTGCTTGAGACGATGCTATGTAAATTACAACCCAGTGATGACAGCTTGCACTAGGACTGCAAGGGACCTGCTGGCTACCGCTTGGACCAACGAGATCCAAACCTATATAGGTTGAGCAGGAATATTGCATGCAGGAACTGGATGCAATTGTCTTCCAAAGAGTCTTCCAGCAAGCTGAGGAGCAGCGTGTTCATCAGTTGTTGCTCGCCAATGTTGACGGTCAGACGGTCAGACGTCAGGGTTTAGGCCTGGAATCCGTCAGACGGTGAGTTGTTGTTCACTTGTCGGAAATGTCATGATAATAAACCCGATCGGAAGTGTGACTGGTGATCCGATGCTGTGTAAGAAGATCACATCTCCTGAAACAGGAAGCAGTCCTGCTCACTCAGGCCGATTTAGATCAACAGTCACAGTAGATCTTCCCTGGGTGTCTAGTTCCGTTTACTGCCTGACATTTGTTCGACCAATGTGCGTGTACAGTCAAGATCTGTGCGTACGCAGAATGCCACACTTTTGTGAAATTTTGTCAGAAGGCTGCGTACTTTTTACAGCATTTTCAATGTCAGCGATGCTGCAGGCACCTATTGTGCGGATGTGTAGGTGGCGGAATACTGTGTTTATATAGCTGTAGCACTGTAAATTATTGGTTTGCAGAAGCTGCAAAACAAAGCCACCTTACTTGCGTTGGCCTTGCTTCCACGGGTGCCTATACCACCTTCATCACAACATGTGTCCAAACGCTGCGCAGAAATGTGGTCCGTGGTGATAGAACATGGGGCATTTGTTGCAATACAGGCAATAATGAACCTACCGAACCAGACTTTAGTCAAGAAACAGTATTCCAAAGTGCTAGCCTTCTTTGGCAGATGTTTGATGGATCTGATAGATCTAGCTGAACTTCAATCATCACACAATTGTTGGTGCTTTGTCTCCAAAAGTGCTATATTGTTAGATGCAAAATGATGCAAAACCAAGATGACACCAGCGCAACTAGTTTTAGACCCCGAGACGTCACTTTGCCGCGGCCAGGTGCAAGGCGCAAAAGGCACACTGCAAAAAGTAAAAGCTTGGGAAACAATGAAGGATCCGTGGGCTGACCGTGGGCCAATTGCACGTAGACTAAATCTAGATTTCAAGCTGAGGCAAGTCCAGAGGTTACAGTCATTTGCGGTCCACAAACTGTCGTAAGTCACTTCCTGAGTGACGAGTCCATTGGCAAGCTCTCCTGTCATCCTCAAAGGCTGAAAAGCCCGTGTAGCCAATAAGGCAGTTGACACGAGCAGCATTCCGCTTTTGTTTCTTCTGCCCGGTTCTGCCCAACCAGGAGGGTTACCGCCTTTTTGGTTTATCTGATTCGAGCATCGGCGAGCCAGTGGTGTTGTCCACGCACCTCCAGGGTCAACAAAGGCCAGGGTGCACCGCGCGTGGGGGATTGGGACACGCATGGACTCCAGGTCCAACTCCAGGTCTACGGGGATTGACCTTGTGCCCGGGGATGGACTAAGTCGGACTGCGATTGCTTTGGTTACGAAGACGCATCTATGGCAATTCAGGAACGGAGTTTTTGTTTTGTAATCCCACTGCGGTTACCGTTTTGTCCTAAAATAGAGCAGCGCTTTCCACACACCGTATCTCAAGAAGTTGCATGCTGAATACATACACAAACTGGGTGTGAAGAAAGCTTCTCACAGAGCAGTCCTTGCATTCGATTGTTTGCTGAGCAAGGGAGCGAATGGACGCGTTTGCCCTGCGAAATACCTTGTTGTCCTTCTTAGAAACTCTACATTGAGGATGTTATGCAAGAAACGCAGCACACCCAGCTCCTCTTCACTTGCCAATCTAATCAGTCAGTGTTATATACTACCTACTACCTACCATGTTGATATTAAGGCCAAAACCACTCTTGAAATGTGAAAAGACCTTTGATTTTTCAGATACTTCACCGAGCTGAACAGCTTCGACGCACCCGCAGCGACTATAGCCACTGTGCAACATCCGTGGGCCTTCTTGGCCTCTCGGCTGCTCCGAAAAACGGGAAGGAAAGGACTTAGGATCCGTAGGATCTTGGTTCTTCTTAAAAACGAATCTAAAATTGACAATGTTGGAGTTGAACTTTGACTTCTTGGGATTGGGTTACCGCTGTTTTGGTTTTCAACTGTGATCCTTCAGCACGTCGTCTCGATGCAGCGAGACAGCACATCGTTTATAGGGCGCACGAGATTGCCTGGTGGGTTGTGTGGTCTTTGTTTTTGTGGTTAACGAATAGTTTGCATTGAACCTGCCAAAAGAGGCATCATTCATGTATTATAATGTCAATGTATTCAATCATTGAACCCCGCAGGGTCATAGGTCCTGCTATGCCCGCATATCACCAGCAACAAGGTGGGCGAAGCAGCCGGCCTCGTGAATATTTGGCCTGGACGGGTGCCTTTGGTGTGGACTGTTTTTGAATCTGTGGGAGCCGGTGCACACGTCTCAACACACATGGAATTCGAAACTATGTATATATCTGTCAGATGATCCAGAGCAGTGACAATGCCAATGAAAACATATATATATATTGAATATATTGTTTGCTTTCCAGGTGCTCCAACAAAGAACAAAGGACTGATCCACGTATGAATGTCCTTCTTGTCCTTGACAGGGTGATCAGACTTTGATGCATATAAAAAAACAAAGTTAGTTAATGCCAGCCATGCAGATCAAAGTTTCCTGGACATGATCAGACATTGTCACCAACCCGGAACGAAGAGGATCACCATATCGGTCCAGGCTAGTCCATGTCGAATCGTATTGAAGGCCTGTGGTCGCTCTATGATCTTCAATAAAAATAGAAGAGCTACTGTATATAATCTCCGCACAGTTTCACTTGGGGGCCGTGTCGCTTGGTAAGAATTTTGTGTACCCATATGTGTCTCACCAAGGTTTTTCTTTCATTCATCTCCATTTCACCACCTATCCTGAGTTCTAATAAGGTGAGCCTATCACGACCTGAGGCATTGAACGCCATGGTGAAGTCGTCTTTGGTGTTGGCTCAACATCTCAAGGCAGCTGCAGTATGAAAAACGATGCACCTCTCACCAGCCTGTGTTGAGAGACGGAAGGTCCGAATGTGTGGGAGGAAACCCGACTGACTATACAACCTCAATCAGATTAAGGAAATCCTGGTTAGTTTGGTGGAATGCGTCCATCTCCCAAAGCCGGCGAGGACGGAATCACAAATGGGGGCGAATTCATGCACTGAGCTGCGAAGAAGATCGGCAGATCCACGTTTGATCCTAGGATCTAGAAGAGTCATTTAGAAGATATTCATGGATCACACAGAAGAAACACATAGATAGTTTTCATGAAAATGTGCTCTTTTTGCAGTTTTTCCACGTGTCGGAAACACACGGGTGGGAGTGTGTTGGATGTCTTTTCAGGAGAGGTTTCTTCCCAAGTTGAGTGGCTTTTGATTATACGTTTTGGTGTAGGAAGGTGGACTTTAGCCATGCGCCTTTGTGAGGCAATGGCACAGGCGGTTCGTGCGGGTTATCCTGTGGACGAAAGCTTCAGCATGGAGTATGGCGAACAGTTGCTTGATGTTGTTGGTGCGCAACACCAGCAAAGAGCTGATCAAATCCTGGTCATCCTGGTGTGGGCAAGCATTGGCACCACAAATGATTGGACAACTGTGTTTGCTGCCCTCATTCAAGTCCTGCAAGAACTGACAGCGGAGAAACAAAAGGCTGGGAACAGCGACACCCTTCTCACTGATTGGATCGTGAAAGCCAGGTACAAGGACAGAAAGTAGAAAGAGAGAGGGAAAGAAAGAAGGAAGGAAGGAAGGAAGAAAAGAAAAGAAACGAAAAGAAAAGAAAAGAAAGGAAAAGAAAGAAAGAAAGAAAGAAGAGAGTACGCATGGTTCCTTTCGGTCTAAAACTGGCATGATTCTGCAGGGGTACCCTCCCAAACTTGTACAGTGATTGCCGGGTAGCTACTCTAGCCACGACCATTCACAGCAGAGATATTGCATGATATTGCCTTTGTGCATCAGCGATTAAGTGTGAAAGCTGAGCACAGTTAGTTTTCATGATTCGTTGCTGGATGTTTATGTGTTAACAGGCCTCAGTTCTACACTATTTATAGAGGCTGTTGTGTGTATGCCCGCAAACCTCCGACTCACGAAAGCTTCCATGGCTAAAGGTTTCTCTTTTCTTAGATGGTGGGCACCAGACGGGTTTCCTTTCCTTTGACTATATTCTTATCAAGGGGAGACTCAAGGGTCTGGAGGTGAATTGAGTTTTTGTGTAAGGTTGTTGTCGCAAGGGCAATTGGATGTTTATTTCTGGAAGAGCATCAGGTTTCATTTGGGGTGAATTTGGGGCAAGTTTGTGCTCGCTATGTTGAACTAGAACTGATCTGGGGTCCGCTCTGAGTTCCAAATCCGTTCTTGACGCAATGTCAACCTATGGTCTCCTTTGAATTTGATTTCTGTGTGATTTGCTGCTTATTAATTATTACCGAAATAAAACTGCCAATGCTTTGCCTTCGTCACATCTGCCAGTCCTGAGGCTCACCAAGCTCCACGGCTTTGAAGCTGGAGTCTACAGCAGGCGGGTTGTAGCTTTGCCAGCTTTAGAGGTCAGGGAACAAGACGATTATATTGTTTATATATATATATATATAGGAGTTATATAATTGACCTAGAAAGCGATTGCCTCCAACCTACCAGCGATGGCCTTCAACCTACTAGTGTTGGCCTCCAACCTAAAAGCGATGGCCTCCAACCTACTAGCGATGGCATCCAACCTAGAAGCGATATTATATGGGAGTTATAATATATACACTGTATATAATTGTATTGATATATATATATACACATATATATGTGTATATATATATATGTGTTTTGGTATGTACTGATGGAAACAAGCAGGTATGGGCTTGCAACCATGAAACTGATGTTCAATACCAAGCGGATAATTTTCTCCATACACACCATCGTTTCGGTAACCAGCTGGTTTGGCGGTTTGGAGACAGAGGCTCGCAATCCACGTAGAGATTGGGGTAAATGATCCTTTTGCCAACTCATCAGGCAATGCGAAGCTGCTCAGACGAGGTCAAAGAGCTTCAGGCTGAGTACATGAGCCTTGGATGAATGCAATCTGCTGGGTGGGGAACGGCTTGAGAAGAATGCATGTGATCTGTGAGGTATATAGTGAGAAAAGAAGCTTCACTCATACGTCAGCTTGTCGCATGGGTCATTCCAGGCTTGGCAAAGTTTTCAGTCAGACCACCAGGTGTCCTTCAAAGCCGAACTACGACAGAGACGCTGAGTTCATAAGCTATTTGTGTCTATAAAGCACATGAATCGTTATGAAGCGGACAGCAAAACGTACTGTTTCTAACTTCGGAGCTTAACTTCTTTCATCCCTTGCATCTTGCACGAGGCCTTCAGGAGGCCAAAGCGACGGAGCCGGCGCAGCAGGTGTCAGCCTTGGCTATCTTCCGCCGGACTTTGCGCGGGAGCGGGCGCTGGCTGGAGAAGAACGAAGAGAAAGACGAAGAGAAGGACGAGAAGTTCGAGGAGGTCAGCGAAACGGGACCAAGCTCAGGAGCTCTCAAGATGTGTAGGGCATGGCAAGCATATGCAGCATTGTACGTTTTGGGAAGCCCAGGAATTTTGACACACTGAACGGTCATCATGGGAGACAAAGAGCTCTCAAGTTCCGCAGCTTCGTCATTGGATGTGTATGAGTTTGCATGTTTGGAGGCTCTGTGGCGAGGAGTGAAGGAGGCCAATCTGGATGCAAGGCAGCGGCAGGGGCACAGTCCAAGAGAGAGGCATGATGGATGATGTCGATCATCACCCCAATGTTCCATACAATCAGTCTAGAAAAACTGATTGCTGCCGAATGTCTACAGGTGCAAGACAGGTGCAGGACAAAGGGAATAGCCAAGGTTTCAATGTTTCTCCGATAATATAACACCGGGTGATTCACATACCCCTCCTATTAGTTTGGTCCACCTCAAGGCCTGCAATAATTACGATAACAAACACTTGTCAGAAAACCTTCTAGCCCATTTTGTATTTTCACTCCATGTAATATGTACACTTTGTACCTTGCACATAGTAGGATGTCATGTTGACTTCACCTTTGCAGCTCGCGGCCCAAAACAGGAGTTGCAGCTTAACGGCTGTTTCTATAGGTTATCAGCCGTAGTGCTCTAACCACAGCCATGGACGCTCTTGCTATTCCTGGGAACGGTACATCATCGGTAGCAGTCCCAGCCGGTCTCATGACTGAGCCCACGGTGGATCTAGATGACCCCATGGGTTCAGCTCCTGTCACAGCTTACTTTCAGTTTGTGCAGCAAAATATCCAACAGGTGTACAACGGAAATGAAGACGCTATTATTGCTGAGGCAGAGAGAAGGCACAAAGAAATAATGGGACAATGGCTGAACATGGTGAAAACCAAGTTTCGTCAAGCAATCGATGAAGTAGCGAGCAAGCATCATGAGGAACTCAGTTCGGTAAAGCAACAAGCTCAGTCTAGCTACAACCAAGTACAAGGGGAACTAAGTGCTGCAAAAGCGCGAATCCTTAAGCTAGAGAGCGAGAGGTCCATTGAGGCTGAAGCCAGAAAAGCAGAACTGGACTCCTTGCGCATTCAGCTCATGCACGATTGTCAGCAAACTGTCGCTGCCATCACCAGTGGTGCCGAGCAAGGTGTGGCAACGCTTCGTGCAGAGTTCGATGAGCGAGAAACTCAGCTTCGACGTGAGCTACGCGACGCAGAAAACGAAAACTATAGTCTGCAGCAAATGCTCGATGACCTCAAAGCCAAAATGCATGCTGGACCCGAGCTAGAGTACCATCCAACAAGTGTCATGAACACACCAGTGTCTACACCCAGACACGATGACACGAAGAGGAGAAATCCTCTGGAGACCATTGCAGCAGAGGCTACTGCACGTTTGAGTGGACTGTTCGCACCTAAAGCGCCAACGGCCACCATCATCGGTGATGCCCCACTAGGGGCAGCTGCTCCTATCAAGCCAGTGCTTCCAGTTCACGGAGGCACCGCAGCAGATGGGGGCAAAACACCGACAAATCTGTTCCATAGCCCTGCACCCTCAATTCGCGAACCCCATAAGCCAGCGTCGTCAGGTGCTATCACCTCCGAGCAGGTGATTGAACTGGTCAAGTCACTCACTCAAAGAGAGTCAGATGAGAAGCCAAAGGTAAAAGGAGGCAGATCATATCAAGTTGAATGACACGCCAACCCCTGAAACTTATCGGCAATGGAAACATCATGTGAGGGACAAAATCAAGTCATGTTCTGACAAACCAGATGCGGCCTGGGACTGGTTAATGGAGGTTTACAACACTGTTGATGAGAGAAAAGTTCTGGAAGAGCGGTTGTCTAACCCTGGGAAGTTCACAACGTTGGATACCAAGTTGGCAGCTGCACTGACCAGAAGTGCAAAGGGTGATCTAGCAAACCGAATCATCAATTACAAAGAAGAGAAGGCAAAACTAGGCATCCAGGTTCGAGGAAGGATGATTCTTCTCATGTTTGATGACTATTTCAAGACCTCGGAAGAAGCGGGTAGCCTCTACAGGGTTGAAGATCTCCTCAATGTGGTGAAGGTAGGCGATACTGTAGCGGACTTGAAGCGTTTTATCAACCGCTGGGACGCTACCATCGCCGGTATGCCCGAACCACCGCACGAAAACGTGCTTCGAGACATCCTATTGAGGCAGATCCGCACAAGCACCATCCTGAGGTATGACATCGATCTTTTTGATCGTGCAAAAGAAGGTGACCATCATCGGTCTTACAAGTTCCTACTGCAAAGTATCAAGGACCTGATAGATCGGGAACGCCTTCGCGAGAATCGGTCACGTATCGCTGAGCGAAACCGGCTCAAGCCAGGTGATCGACATGAGAAGAACGCAGCCCCTACTGTTGATCCTCGGCGGAAGCGTTCGCCATCGCGCGGACGATCGACTTCTCGGGAGAAGGGCATTTGTTGGGCCTTTTTGGAGGGAAAGTGTGCAAAAGGGAAGGATTGCAAGTTTAAGCATGAAAAGCCCAAGCGCGATCCTTCCAAGAAGCGCCAACCATCCCGGGAGCGGAACGAGTCGAGGGACAAAAGCACAGATAAGGAAAAGAAGCGAATGACTAAGGAGGAGATGGCAAAGACCCCATGCAGGTACGATCAACAAGGTACATGCAGAAGAGGAGACAAGTGCTTTTTCAAACATGGAGAAAAGGCAGCACCGGCTCCGAAAACGAAGCCAAGAAAGGACTCCCCAAAGCCAAAGGCAAAAGGGGATACTAAGAAAGCTGCCATTTGCCTGAGCAATCGGTTTGCATGTCTTGCAACTGGTGTGCCCGGACGGTCATGTCTCAAGAAGTCCTGTCTTCCTCCAGCGAGGAAAAGGTCCAAGTCGTCTGTCCGAAGGACTACATTTGTTATGAAACCCGAGATTCGTACAATCCCTGCTCGCGGGGAACATTGCAAGATGGCCAAGCGTCCGCGCAAGTATAGCGTGCATTTTGCCACGAGCGATCGCGTGCCCAAGAGCGACCCAAAGGCAGCCCACATGGCCAAAGTAAAAGCTAGGCAGTTGGCTGAAGTTGTTCGAAGCTTTGATCGTGCAACCGTGCCCTCATGTCGTTTTCTGTGCACCGAATCGTCGCTTACTTGTCGTGAGTGTCGAAGCTTGATCAAGTTGAAAACATGTCCTACCACCATCCCGACTATCGTTGCCAGTCCAGCACCAAGGGAAGGGAGGTTGTCATGGCTTGTCGATTCAGGGAGTGAGCAAGACCTCCTCAGCAGGAAAGTCATGGACGCTGCTGGTGCGAAGAACCCAAGACGGGCTCCTCACACCATCAGTTTGATCACTGCAAACGGATCGACCGAAGCCAGTGAGGTAGCTGACGTCCAGATGAAGCAGCTACTGGAGCCTTGCACGCCGTATTTGCTGGACGAATGCCCTGCTGTGCTCTCAGTTGGCATTAAATGCCTTGACCAAGGGTATAGTTTTGTGTGGCCGGCAAACGGTACTCCGATCCTGGTGCGACCAGATGAGAAAATCGTTCAACTTCGTGTTGATGGTCATGTCCCAGTCCTCGACTCCGAGTGCAAAGTCTTTTGGAAAGGGCAAGTTCAAGAAGGATAAGCCTCTGAAGAAGCTGTTTGCAATGCCGGGAGCAATCTCGAGCCCATCGGACAAGAAAGAGGACGAAGGCATCGACGAAGAAGTGCCAGACGATGAAGAAAGCCGTTTGGTGCGATCACGAAAGGTTGGAGACTTGACGCGTGAGGCACAGTCCGCAAAACACCAGTATCACCACTTTCCCAAGAACCCATTCTGCAAAGTGTGTCAGCGAGCAAGGATGCTTGCACCACAGGCACGAAAGAAAGGGGGTGAAAGCCGCATTCAGACTAAGGCCTTTGGTGATCATCTGATCGCCGATCACGTCGTCGTGCGAGCAAACATCGAAGAAGGGAATCGTGGTGAACGGGTAGCTTTGGTTGTGAAAGACCTGCATACAAAGTTCCGGAGTATTTACCCAGCTCAGTCCAAAAGTTCGGATGAGGTAGTGGTTGCTCTTCAGCATTTTGTTGCCCCGGATGATGCAGTTGAGGTCATTTACACCGACAACTCCCGTGAGTTGATAGCTGGTATCAAGGAGTTAGGGTATCGCCACCAAACCTCCGTTGAATACGTTGACTCCTCCAAGAGCTTCATTGAAAGGGAAGTTAGGAATATGCTTGAGGGAGCACGCACCAATCTCGTTCAGTCCGGAATGCCCCTCCAGTACTGGCCACTCGCCATTCAACATTTTGCAATGGCAACAAACACGAGTGATCAGCTGGATTCATCTCCAAGCCCATGGGAACTGCGTTTTGGAGAAATGTTTGAAGGCATGGCCATTCCGTTTGGTGCGAAAGTCCTGTTCTGGAACAACCCCAATCGAGCCGACAATACAGCAGGAAAGCTGTCGCCCACATCGGTGGAAGGCGTGTTTCTTGGTTACCATGTGCAGCCGGGACACAAGTGGCGTGGGGAGTATCTAGTTGCTAAGTTGGAAGCACTAGACTACCATGTTGAACACAACAGTTTGACGACCCAGAGGACAAAGAAAATTGAGCTCCTTCCAGGTGGTTTCAGTTTTCCATTGCGTGTCAAACAAGATCGTAAGGAAGCTATCCCTGATGACCCAAAGCTCAACCTCATCGAGTCTCCCAATCCGATTCCACTTGCGGATGCTGACCTTGCAGAGTACACACCATCCGAAGCTCCAGAAGGTGTACTTGAACAGGGGGGCGAGGAACCCGAAATCGAAGTCACGGCAGCTGACAAAGCCGAGGACTACAAGCCCGACACTACGCCGGCCGGGGTCCCTATTCCTGAAGGTTACCATTGGGATGGTCTTCGTGTGGTGAAGACGTACAAAGGCAGCAAACGCCCAAAGGACATTCCATCGGATTATTGGAAAACGCTCGGTCCAAAAGATCGAGCAAAGCTGTTAAAAGAAATGGACGAAGCAAAGTCATCCTCCAGCAAAGGTTCAAAGACCACTAGTCCAGCGACCTCTTCTCAGCTCGGTTCATGCCGAAGCCCTCGTGCTACAGACACGAGCACTAGCTGGGAAGCCGTGCCCACGCCGAAAATGAGGTTTGGAGCACCTGCAATGCCGCGGAAAGTGCTTGATCAACCTGAGCCGCATCGTCTTCCGATTCGGGAGCTTGTCGCACAGCGCATCAAGCAAATCGAGTTTCAAATCGCT